GCTAGCCTGACAGGACAGGGTATGCTGGCCTGACAGGACAGGGTATGCTAGCCTGACAGGACAGGGTATGCTGGTCTGACAGAACATCGGAACAGGATCCAGTGTAGATGGATCCCAACCACACTAATTCAGTAATGCACACTGTACAGGAGTTGGATGTGCTGTAATTTTATTCTTTTTTTTATGGCTGATTTTTTTCTACTATGTATTTTTTAAAGATCTCTCTTAAAGCTTTAGTTGAGATGATTTTATAGGAGCTGTTGAATTAAATGATTGCTCAGTTTTTGATATTTATATTCTCAGGTGTCTTAAATTCATTGGAGTTTCAGTTTTCCTGTGCATCGCTAACGCCGAAGCATTTTATTACTTTTCTTTTGCAGATTAATTTATTGCATATCAAAGAAGCATCATTTATGTGGTTTAATTGTTCTTTTCATAACTCATTTTGTACTAAGGGACAGTACTAATAGTATTTTGTTTTGGTTTTTGTTTGACTTTTTTTGTTTTTAAATAAAAATACTGAAGATAATGAAGTGTTTTGTGTTTTCTTTCCTTTGCGTCGGTAATAACAGGCAGGATCATTAGAAGTATTTATCTGGAGCTGATGTTATACTTGATAATTAATTGGTCTATTTTATTATTTTATTACGGTAATCTTTTGTTTGTGTTCCATCAGGATTAACAAAAGCAGTTATTTAGATTAAGATAAATTACATCTTATTTTCAGCGTGCAGAATGTAAAACAAAGACTTAAATGTTTTGGGTAGCGATGCAGATATGAACATTTCAGCTGAAATTGATAATAATAATAATAATAATACTTATGACAAAAGGCCAATAAACTAATTCGTCATATATAATTCCCCCCCCCTTCTGACAGCATAAGAACCTTCTCTGCTTCAGATAAACGAATAGAAAGTATTTCGCTATCAGATGACCAAAATATTCAGTTTACTTATTTAGCTCCAAAACGCAAAAGTTTCTCTTAAAGGAAAACTCTGATCAGCAGGAATAATCAATGGATCATTATTTATACCTAAAACTAATAAGTTTGCAGTGATTTAATGAATTTAGCATTAATCAGTAAATATATATATTTATATAAGTTACAGAAAAAGAAAAACCAAAGGGATGTCAAAGAGACCGAATACGTTTCCAGCGCTTTCAGCACCATCAGACCAGAGCTGCTGGAGGACAAACATCTGGACCATCAAGTACCTCACTGAACGCCCTCAGTCTGAGCGGCTGCAGTACCGGGGCCCCCAGGCAGGGGGGGTTACCATTAGGTAATACTAGGCAGCTGCCTAGGGTCCTGGGGGGCTCATAAAACTCTGTTTCTATTTATGATTAATACAACTATTCCTTATTTGTGCACATTAATTATGTTTTTTTTTTTTTTATAAAAATCGTTTTTCTAAAATGCATCAGAACGCAGTGTGTGAATCGCCCCCTCCTTTCTCACACACATTAAAAAAACTTGGGAATAAATGAATCATTTGTGAGCA